TCTATCTATCTATCTATCTATCTATCTATCTATCTATCTATCTATCTATTGACACTCTTTTTTTAAACTTTTGTTTTATTTGGGATTCCTTAAAGCCTCTCCCTTCCAACCCTCTAACCCTAAGTAGGAGAGAGAAGGTTAGTGGGACCACATCCTGCAGGAGACAATTATCAGCTGTGGACAAGCTAAAGCCCAACTAAAATCCCACACTTGGGATTGAAACAAAAACATATTTACATAACATAACTGAATTTACAAAGTAACCAAACCTTTCTCTACATCTATCCATCTGAGACAGTCTCTCACTGTGTAGCCGTGGTTGTTGTAAACTCAGCATGCAGCCTGCACTGGTCTGGAACTCACAGCAGTCCTCCTGCCTCACTGTCTCAAGTGCTGGGATTACAAGCATGTACAACCACATCTGGCTCAGAGAAGACCTACACTGTTGGCAGTTATCACAAATGCAGACTGCTGGGCCCTCCTTGGTGCTGTAGTCGTTGGTCTCGGTTAAACAGGGCGTTTCCTTTGTCTTAAAATGCCATTCCACAGAGACTGAACCCCAGACTTACTGTTTCCAAATCACTGATTGAGTCTCTCTGGTGACAGGTTTTTTGTGGGAACATACAATGTCAATGGACAGTCTCCCAAAGAATGCCTCCGGCCCTGGCTGAGCCACAGCACCCAGGCCCCCGATGTGTACTGTGTCGGGTGAGTGCTCCTCTTCTGTTCCTCCCAGTTTTTAAAAAAAAGAGAGCCATGCTGAAGGAATGGGGACATGAACTGAGCTGAGTCTCCATGGCAGGTGAAGGAATTGAAATATGAGCTCAACTCAGGGACGGCTGCTTCTCTGTTCCATGTTCTTCCTGATACACAGATGTCTGGCCACATACTGTGCTTGGTATTTAAATGCTGATATTCATTTAGTATAACCTTCTGTTTGAAATTGGTGTGTCATTACTTGACATTCAACACATTTTTGTTCACACAGCAAACAAACATTTTTGCCAGGAAAGGAAGGTTTGCTAAAGTTTCATCAGTTAGTTGGTTTTGTTTATGTGTGTGCATGTGTGTGTGTGTGTGTGTGTGTGTGTGTGCATGCATGACTATGTAAGCCAGAGGTCAGTTTGTCATTCTCCAGTAGAGAGTTTGAGTGTATGTGAGTTTAAGAGAAACAGACAGACAGGCAGATAGACAGGGTCTCTTTCTTTCTAGTTTGGGGTTCATTAAGTTAGGCTAGATTGGCTGATTAGCAAGCTCCACAGATCTATCTGTTTCTGCTTCTCAGCACTGGATGTGGATCACCATGCTTGGCCTGCGTTTTTGTTTGTCTGTTTTTGTTTTTGACATGGGGTCTCGCTGTATAATTCTGGCTTGCTTTGGAGTTTTGTGTAACAGCACACACACACACACGCTTCCAAATAATTCAGTGGCTGTTTCCTGGAGAAGAAATGAGCTTATGTTCAGAGAAGCACCCAGTAAATCCCAGGACATCTAATTCTCTAGTTCGCTTTGTTTTTACCCCCAACCCCCAGGGTCCAGCTGTTCATCTAGAAAGCTGGAACCCCAGTACCCGAGCAGATCTGGGCTGTGTTAGCTGCATGCTGCCTTTCTCTGGTTAACTGGCTGCCTCTCCGCACAGGTTCCAGGAGCTTGATCTGAGTAAAGAAGCCTTCTTTTTCCTGGATACCCCAAAGGAGGAAGAGTGGTTTAAGGCTGTGTCAGAGAGCCTTCACCCTGGTGCCAAATATGCAAAGGTAAGGGTATGGGGAGTGGCTTAGGGTGCCATGTAGCACGCTCAGTGAGTGGGGCAGACCGCTTAGTACCTGGCCTGGAAGAGGTGTGTTAGTGCCTTGGGCAACTCTCATACCACATTGCCTTTGCAATACTCTGGTTCTCAACTTCTGTCTGTGGCAGCCATCACTTGAGAATTGGGCTCTGTGTTCCAGGTGAAGCTGATCCGGCTGGTTGGGATTATGCTGCTGTTGTACATCAAACAGGAACACGCAGCCTATGTCTCGGAAGTGGAAGCTGAGACTGTGGGGACAGGAATCATGGGGAGGATGGTGAGTCCTTGTTAATTTTCTGCAAATTGGGGACCTTGACCCCAGTGTTTTGACTCCGCTTCTTGAGATGCAGGAGCCATATAGTCCCACCTAGGATGCTGCTGCTGCAGGCGAGCTGTACCCAGGGCTGGATTGAACAGGCAGCTCTGAAATCCAGCTAGTGCATTTCTTCACGCTAGTAGTTAGTCAGTGCTGGCAGAGCCTCTGGTTGATCCGCATATACAGTATGCTACAGAAATTGTTTAGGCCCAAAGAAAACAGCCCCATAGGTTTGCAATTTCTTCTTCTTGAGGCTCCTGGAGTCCTGCCCTTAGATCCCTCTGCAAGAGCTGAGCTGATGGAGCTGGCTCACCAGGAATACAGACAAAAAAACAGGCGGTTGAGATAGGCAGGCTCTGGCCTGAGCTTTCTGTGGAAATGGCTAGTCATTTGCTTGGGGATTTATAGTCTTATCTGTTAGATAAAGAAAATAACCCCATAAGGTCATTCTGAAGACGAAGACAAAATATTTTGAAAGCTGGAAAGTTTTAATGACTGTGGGGGTCCTTTCAATAGGGCAACAAAGGAGGCGTGGCAATCAGGTTCCAGCTGCACAACACCAGCATCTGCGTTGTGAATTCCCACCTGGCAGCTCACACAGAGGAGTACGAGAGGAGGAACCAGGATTACAAAGACATTTGTTCTCGAATGCAGTTCTCTCAGGTGGACCCGAGCCTCCCCCCTCTCACCATTAGCAAGCATGAGTGAGTCTGGGTTTCTCCCCTTCAGTCCCCATGTGTGACTGCCAGGGTGAGTTCTCCATCTTGGCCAGGAGGTGAATTCTAGAGGCTGGGTGTCTGCCAGCTCTTATTTGTCTGTTGGAAATTTCTGGCTTCCTAAATTACTATGTGGAAGACCTCTAGAATCATTGTCAAGCATTCCTTGTTCGTGGAAAGGCATGGGGTTTATTTGCCTAGAAATCTGCTTTGATTGAGCACCAGGAGCAAAGGAGCCAGACAGCTTTCATCTCACACACAGTTTGGAGCACTGTTTAAGCTTCCTTACCTGTTCTTCTAGAGCGCGTGCAGCTGAAAGTTGCACCTGTGCTTGTTGCCTTCCCTTGCTCGTTCCTTCTTGATTCTACTCATCAAAATCATCATTGCAACTGCACAGAGCATATTGTACTAGTTTCCATTCATTCTTTTTATTTCATTTATCTCTAAAGCTTTGCTTTTTGTCTGATTTCAAAACCTTAGGATTTCAGACGTTATGGTCATAGTTGAAGTTTATGGATCTTCTTTTATAAAGAGGAGGAAGCCCCTAGGATCCTGTCAGAAGCAGTAGAACTGTCTCTGGCTTGTTGGTATTCTGGGAGCTGACTGGATGGTTGTTCTTCACCAGGGTACCTCGTAGGGAGCATGTCTTCTCTATTGGGAGGCTGCAGCTGGCATGGCCCTTTGTATGCTTTTAGCCTGAGGATGCATTTGTTGGGGGAGAGTGTACACTGCTAGGCAGATTATTTAGGGACATGGGTTTTGGCTTTAGGTAGAGTAGTGGAGTTCATGGTGTGTCTGATTTCATCAGGGAGCAGCTGTAAGTATAATGAGCCACGTGACACAGCTTTTCCCAGGAGTGAAGAGTAAGCTAGTCAGTGATGTGGTGGGTAAATCCAGGCGCTACTATTAAAGTTAAGCTTTGCTGCAGAGAATTCTGTCTAGAAACAGGCTGAGAGTGTTTGTGGTCTGGAATGTAACACAGGGGGTCCCTGGGTGACTGAGCCAAGACAATTAAGGCAGCAGTGTGTTAGACCTGTTAGTCAGTGGGTTGGAAGGGCAATTCTGCTGCAGTTAAGTCACTGTTCCACCTTGGTGTTCTGTCTGATGCATCCTAGATGAGAGAGGGTTAAAGCCCTCCTAAACCCTGTCCTCTTTGTGCTCTGTCCTCACAGTGTGATCTTGTGGCTGGGGGACCTCAACTACAGAATAGAAGAGCTGGATGTGGAAAAGGTGAAAAAGCTCGTGGAAGAGAAGGCCTTTCAAACCCTGTATGCATATGACCAGGTACAGATGGCCACGTGTCTGCCTCAGGCAGCTACTCCTCTTCTGTAAGAGCACAGACCCTAGTTTCTCCTTCCTCATCTTGGGAGGTTTCCCAAAGGACCCAATGCTGTCTGCTTGCGTCTGTATCCCTCTCTGTTGGCTCTATCCTAGAAGCACCTTGTATCCCTTGGAGTAAGAACACACTCTTTCTCTTTCACTCAAGAGATCAGGACTTGGGGCCAAAAGAGCTTCACATTATTGATTTTCTTTCTTCAGTAAAGAAAGTACTTGGTATATTTAAGGTGATTTAATAATTGTCTTTAGAATGGGTTTCTTGCTCCTGCCTCCTCTTTGTCACCAGTTTTCTCCAGTATGAGCAAATTCTCTCAGCTCCTCTCTTCACTCAGGTGAGTCAGTTCTGCAGCCTGCTGTTCCCTACCATCATTTAACGTAGTATGTCTTTCTGAGAGCAATGACCACTTCACAGGCTGAGAGAAGCCTGCGTCTGACCTTCTTGCTGCTGTCCTCAGTAGACCTGAGAGTTCTTAGGTGATCAGAACTCTCCAGGACGCTGAAGCTGTCTTTCTTTTCCATCTGAGCTCTTCTTTCCTTCTTGACAACCTTGGCATCATTAGGTCAAAATCTTTCAATTCTCCACATTCCCACTGCAGAACAATTGAAGGGGAAGAGTCTTAACTTGCTGACTCTTTTTATGAAATCATGTGTTTATTGACTCATGGAATAGGAATGATTTTCTCATGGTTCCTTTCCCTTTGAGGTAGGGCTTGGGATACAGACTGATTTCATGGTCTCCACTAATCCCAGGTTTGACCTTTTATTCTGAGGGCTTCTCTCTCCCATTCTTTTGTACAGCTGAAAATCCAAGTGGCTGCCAGGACTGTCTTTGAAGGCTTCACAGAGGGCGAGCTCACATTCCAGCCTACCTACAAGTATGATACTGGCTCTGATGACTGGGATACCAGGTGGGTCAGAGGTCACTTCAGGGAATTAAGGACATGGAAACCCACAAGTTCTGAAAAGTGCCTGGCCCTCGTGGACCTGAAGAACCTTAGATCCCTTGGCTGCATGGACATGAAGGCTCTGTCTCATGGTCCTTGCCTGAGCCATGGCACTCGTCTTAGTTAGGGTTCTGTTGCTGTGAAGAGACACCATGACCATATCAACTCTTAGAAAGGAGAATATTTAATTGGGACTGGCTGACAGGTTCAGAGCTTTAGTTCATTATCATCATGGCAGAAAGCATAGCAGCATGCAGGCAGACATGGTGCTGGAGAAGGAGCTGAGAGTTCTGTGTCTTGATGTGCACACAGCAGAAGGAGCCTGGGTATCACGCTGGGTGTAGCTTGAGCATAGGAGACCTCAAAGCCTGCGCCCACAGTGACACACCTCCTTCAACAAGGCTACACCTCCTGATCTGATAGTGCCACTCCCTAATGGCCAAGCATTCAAACACATGAATCTATGGGGGCCATACCTATTCAAACCACCACAGCACTCAGTAAGCAATAGGCTTTACTGTTTCGGTGAGTGTGCCAGTGTGGACTTTGTATTTCAGCGAGAAGTGTCGTGCTCCTGCCTGGTGTGACCGAGTCCTGTGGAAAGGAAATAATATTACTCAGCTGAGTTACCAGAGCCACATGGCCTTGAAGATCAGTGATCACAAGCCTGTCAGCTCAGTGTTTGACATTGGGGTAGGTGGTCAGCTGGTTTTCTCTCTTATCCCTTCCTTTTAGCCTTGACTGTAGGAAGCTCTTTTTAGAAACTGTTTAAGGTCCTGGAGAGATGGCTCAGATATTAAAAGCCTTTACTGTTCTTCCAGAGGATCCAAGTTTGAGTCCTAACACCCATGTTGACCTGCCCAGAACCACCTGTAACTCTAGCTCCAGGGAATCCAGGCATTGCATGCATGTGGAACATAGACATACATGCAGGCAAACACCCTGTCTTAGCCAGGGTCACTATTGCTGTGATGAAACATGATCAAAGAAACTCAGGGAGGAAAAGGTTTATTTGGCTTACATCACAGGAAGTCAGGACAGAAACTCACACAGGATAGGAACCTGGAGGCATAAGCTGACGCAGAGACCATGGAGGGATGATGCTTAGTGGCTTACTTCTCACAGCTGGACCACCAGCCCAGTGGTGTCCTTACATCCAGTGGGCTGGGCCATCCTCTATCAATCACTATTTAGTAAAATGTCCTGTAGGCTTGCCTACAGCCCCATCTTATAGAGGCATTTTCTTAATTGAATTTTTTTCCTCTCAGGTGACTTTAGCTTGCGTCAAGTTCACATAAAACTAGCTAGTACACACCCTTATACAAAAAATAAAAATAAATGCATCTTTAAAAAGATGTAAGTGTAAAGTTAATTACTACTTGCTTTTATATACATCTGAATATTTCCGTTTACATGGAAGTTCCCAAAACTCTGGACTTTGTTTATGTGTTTGCAGCTGAGTGTGTTGGTATTCTGCATATAACACACAGATATTTCCCTTTTTTCTTTAGTAAAAGAGCTTACATTATACATATTCTGAGAAATCTTTTCCCTTCATTGAAATGTTTTAGGGCTGGGGAATGTAGCTCAGTACAGTGCTTGCCTAGGTTGCATGAGGTGCTAGATTCAATTCCCAGACTACACAAACCAGATAAGGCAACACATACTTATAATCCCAGTGTTTATAATGATTAATTAGGCCACACAACAGGTCTGATATGAAAGAGATTTATTGTGGGAAAGAGGAAGGGGCGAGAGAGAGAGGAGGGCGCCCATGAAAGAGAAAGAGACAGGAAGAGAGAGGGGGAGAAAGAGGAGTAAGAGAGTGCATGATGGCTCTCTTAAAAAGGGCTGGTCCTTTTTTATCTGCCCTACAGTTGGCAGGTGATGACAGGTTGCCAGGCCACCTAGAAGCAGGCTATTGGAATAACACCCAGCACTCAGAAGGTGGAGGTAGGAAGAACAGGAATTCAGGGTCATCCTTGACTACACTGGGAACTCTCTGTCTTCCACCACTTCCACCCTCAAAAAGAGAGAAGTATCTGGAGTAGTCCAGAGCAGAGAAAAAGAAGACTGAGCATGGCCTGGACTAGGGAAACTGGAGAGAATAGTGGTAATAGTGAGACAGAAGGATAGAGAATGGAGCACAGCAAGAGAGAAAGGGACAGAAGGAGATGGGCAGATGTGGAGGGGATAGTGGCTTAGATTGGAAGGATGAGTAGCTGTGGGGAGGGAAAGGCCAACAGACTAGTGTAGACTTTGAAATATGTTACAGGTACTTGTGACACTCAGAGAGCCCAGAGGCCATCCTGGGCTTTGGTATTCTGATAGGCAGCACAAGTAGCCATATGTCACTTCTGCCAGAGGTAAGGGAGGTGATTGCTTTTGGTAGCTGGGAACTGGAATGTTGGCTTTTATCTAACCACAAGAAATCCTATAGTCTAGCTTGAACTCATTTCTAAGTATATGGACTAACAATTAGTGCCTACTCATTGATTAGTGTCTACTCCCAACAGCTCTTACTATATATTTTGTTGTTATTTTCAAGATAGGGTTTCTCTGTGTAACAATCATGGCTGTCATAGAAATCAGTTTGTAGACCAGGCTGGCTTCAAAATCACGGAGATCCACCTGCCTCTGCCTCCTGGGACTAAAAGCATGCACTTACCACCACTTGGCTTCTTACTGTTTTTTTAAAAAGATTTATTTTTTGGTGACAGGGACTCACTATGTAGACCAGGCTGGCATCAAACTCAGAGATTTGGATTAAAAGCATATACCACCACACAGGCAAGATTTATTTCTACTCTCTGTGTATAAGTATTTTGCCTGCATCTATGTGCACTGCCTGCACGCTTGGTGCCCCCAGAGTCCAGGGCAGGGCATGAATTTCCTGGAAATAACGAGTTACAGGTGCTTGCTAGCCACCATGTAGGTGAGGAGAACCAGGTCCTCTGTAAGAGCATCCTATGCTCTGAACTGCTAAGCCATCTCTCCAGCCTCAGTTCTTATCATTTTATTCTTCCACCAACTGCATAGGAGCTTATTTTCCCACAACCTTGCCAATAATCTTGAAATCTTTTCATGCAATACAGTGAGCAAGAGATAGAGGGAGAGAGGGAAAGGAACAACTCACTATTGTATGTTGCAGCTCCTTGATGGCTAGTGAAGTCAGACATCCCAGTACCCATTATTTGTTTGCATGTCATCACCAGCAGCTTCTGGGTTGCTTCGTACCACCTGTTCTTGAAGGTGTAGGATAGATGCAGGTCAGAATATGAAGTAAGAGAAGACCCTAAGACTGGATGTGGTGGCTCTGGCTTTCCAGCTGGGTGTTGGAGGCCAGCCTATTCTTTTTTGGTTTGTTTATTTGTTTTTGTTTTTTGAGACAGGGTTCCTCTGTGTAACAGCCCTGGCTGTCCTGGACTCACACTGTAGACCAGGCTGGCCTCAAACTCACAGAGATCCTCTTACTTGTGCCTCCTGAGTGCTGGGATTAAAGGTGTGTGCCAACACTGCCCTGCCATACATAAAGACCCTTTCTAAAAAGAGGTGTGGGGGGGGGGCGACTAAGTCATCATGCAATCATTTTATTGTTGAAAAAGGAAAAAAAAAGTGTATATAATTAAAGTACAGAAGGGACATATTCTTCTGACATATTCTGACATATTCTTCCCTGCTGATGAGTTTGGGTTAAAAGAGCTGAGAAATATATCTTTTTATCAAAACCATAGGAAAAAAAAATCCCACTGCTGGCCTTTGGGTGGCAGCAAGCAGGACAGAGATAGAAACCCTGTGGTCTTTTAGTGGAGACCTGAGACCCAACAGGAGGAATAGCCAGGACACTCCAGTGTCCTTCTGCTCACCAGGAGGCAGGCAGCCTTGCTGTAGCTGGGGATCTTTCTGAGTCTGACACTGATTGGGTTATTTGTAATTTTTAAAAGATTTATTTATTTGTTTATTATTTATACAGTTGTCTGCCTGCATGTGTGTCTGCACACTAGATCTCATTATAGATGATTATGAGCCACCATGTAGTTGCTGGAAATTGAACTCAGGACCTTTGGAAGAACAGTCAGTGTTGTTAACCTCTGAGCCTTCTCTCCAGTCCTAATTTGGTTATTTGTTAATGAGCTAAATCTACTTAGGTTTCACTTTCTGAAATGCTGTCACCACTTCCTGATGCCTTAAGCACCCTCACTACTGAGAAAAAAAGAATAGACGGAAGGCTCCGCACTCAGTCTTTAATGTTTTCCTCTCAGGTGAGGGTTGTGAATGAAGAACTCTACCGGAAAACGCTGGAGGAGATTGTCCGATCCCTGGATAAGATGGAAAATGCCAACATTCCTTCTGTGACACTGTCCAAGCGGGAGGTAGGAAAGACCCAGACCCATTAAGAATATTTGGGGCTGGGCAATGTGTTGGGTGTGGCAGCATGGCCTTTATTTTATTCCAAGAATTTGGGAGGCAGAGGCAGGTGGATCTTTGAATTCAGTCTAGCCTTGCCTATTGCCAGTTCCAGAGATTTCAAGCCAGGGCTATAGAGGGAAACCGTTTCAAAAAATAAGTGAGGTTTACGGGAAGACACTTTATGCTGTAGACATGTAGTTACCTGGCAGAGTGAGCTTGATCTTCAGGTTACGGGGGCGATTTGAGGAAGGTGTTTTGAAAGTGGTTCGGATGTAGAAGATGAAAATTTTGCTTCAGGAAACTTACTTATAAAAACAAACCTGGGCTTTGGCCTCACTAGCCTTCGGTGGCCACTGTGCCTTCTCAGCTAAGTACATTTCAAAGACTTGCTTCTTCTTCCCAAGACAAGCACTTTTCCCCAGTCAGTGTAGATACGAAGCTCCAGAAGAGAGGGTGTTTTCTTCTCTTTCTCAGAGGTACTGACTACAAAAGAAAGGTTTCTCTTTCTCTTCTTCTCTTCCTTACTGGTTCTGACTAGACCTTCTTTGTTCCCAGTTCTGTTTTGAGAATGTGAAGTACATGCAGTTGCAAACCGAGTCCTTCACGATTCATAATGGCCAAGTGCCCTGTCAATTTGAATTCATCAACAAGCCTGATGAGAAGACCTACTGTAAGCAGTGGCTTACTGCCAAACCCAGCAAAGGCTTCCTCCTGCCAGGTAACCCATCTCTCCCTACGCTCTGTGCTCTGAGTGCGCTACACGTCCTTTTTATTTTTCTAGTAAGCTTTTTGCTTCTGAATGCTTTATTCTCTGCCTGAAACTCTTTTGTTTTTGTTTCTGTTTTTTAAGATATGCTTTCTCTATGTAGCCCTGGATGGCCTGGACTCACTCTGTGGATTCTGCTGACCTTGAACTCAGAGACCCACCTGCCTCTACCACCCAAGTGCTGGGGATGAAAGTCGTGTACCACCACTGCTTGGCTTTGTTTTGTTTTTAAGACAAAGTCTCTCTATTATGCAGCCCTGGCTATCCTGGAACTCACTGTGTACACCAAGGTGGTCTCACAGAGATCTGCCTGCCTCTGCTGGCTCTGAAACTTTATTTCCCCAAAATCTCTATAGCTGACCTCACCCATATATAAAATGTAAAGTGTTAAGGAGCATGTGTTCAGTTTCAAGAACATTTTACTCACTTGTGTGCTTCATAGTCTAGGGCAGATGCTGCTACTTTAGGGGCCATCTCTACTGCCACTCCATGATTGGTAGTTATCTAGAAATGGTAACAGGCCCCAGAGTGTAATATACCCATCATGTGGCAAGAGGATTAAGGGTTTTTCCTGGCTACTTCCCAGGAGACAACTTCCCTAGATCTTCAAAGGGGCACATGTTTTCATCTTACCTATTCCAGGGCTGGTCCTTTAATCCATGTCTTCTTATTGGACTCATTCTCCTGGTTTAAGCCACGCTACTTTGTATGTGAGTTTGCTGATACTGGTCTGTACAGTTTGCATGTGTCACATTTCCAGGCTGGACTTGTACACATTTTGTGTTTCTCCAATGTAAAGCACACAGGTCCATGTCGGTTGATCTTCTGTTTACCCTCTTAACTCTTCCTGTCTTACTGTCTGCCCTCCTGCCTTTTGCTCTTTCTCTTGACTGCTCCCTAGCTGATGTTACTTTTAAACTTTTTCTGCAGATTGTCACATTGAGATTGAGTTGGAGCTCTTTGTAAATAAGTCTACTGCCACAAAACTCAATTCAGGCAAAGACAAAATTGAAGACATTCTGGTTTTACACTTGGATCGGGGAAAGGATTACTTTTTGTCCGTGTCTGGGAACTACCTGCCCAGCTGTTTTGGTTCTCCCATTCATACATTGTGCTACATGAGGGAGCCCATCTTGGACCTACCGCTGGAAACTGTTAGCGAGCTGGTGAGTAACAGGCCCAGAGGAAACGTGGTATAGGGCAGTGTGGGTCAAACACTGTATTTCTATATCTACCTTCCTGGACATAAGTATTTTGCAGCCTCCTAGAGCTTGCTTAGTATCAATGCAATAAGCCGTCCCACAGTCAAAATGACAGTGAGACTTCACTCATGACTCTTGCTTTTTCTGCTGGTCTAGCCTAGGCTCATTTGTGCCAGGCTGTAGACCTGGAGCTTGGCCTCAGACATTTGGGCTCACAAGTGTGGACTCTTTCCTCACTGGATCACACAGCCTCTCTGGTTCTAACAGTGGAATGCTAGAAGAACTTTTTTCAATGGGCATATACTACATTCATCAAAGCTGCCTTGCCATGATTCTCCCTCCTCCCCCATCCTTAAAAATCACCTTTTGTCACCTGGGCTTGTCTTTTTCTTTTTCTTTTTTTTTATCCTCTGGAATGTTTGGGTAGTGGCCTGAAGAGTTTCCCTTTCTGTTGTTTGCTGTCCCCCTGTCATGCATTTTCCTAAAGCCAGCCTGGTAGAAGTTCCACCTTGTCATGACTTGTCATAATTTTTCTTTCTTTGGAGACTTTGATGCCAGTGGAGGCTGCAGATGACAGGAGCCATTTGGAAAACCCCATGGAAATCCCCAAAGAACTCTGGATGATGGTAGATTACCTCTATAGAAATGGTATCCAGCAGGTAGGTGGTGCTAGTCAAATCTAGCTGGGACCAGGCTGCCTTTAGAAAGATCTAGTACATTTTGTATGGAAAGCTTTTGTCTGTGGAGCATTTTTCTGTCCGAAGGGGTTGAGTGCCTGTTTGATACTTGATCTTGACTCCCCACTGGGAAGCAAAGCATCTTTCCCAGGGGTTTGTTTCTTTCCCAGGCCTCTTCTTGGTCCCGCTAGAGGACTTCTGAGTGCCTCCTGGGAGGTAATTTTGGTGTCTTTTGCGGGAACTCTCACCTGATTCTGAGAATGGGAGGAGCTAGCTTGTTGACAGTTCTGGCAGGGGAAAGGTGGAACCCCAGGCTATGAGTCTGGAAGGCTGATTTCTGGAGAGATTTAGGTAGGCTTTACTGGAATTTGTTGACTTAGCTAGAGGTTTGTCCAGGCGTCAAAGCCAGGAATGGAAGAGGGTCACAGGAGGCTGGCAGGCTGGGGAGAATGCAGGGATCACAGACAGACACCCAGGCACAGAACATCACACAGTGTATACAGAGGTAGGTAGGCTGGTAAAGGCAAAGGCTCTTGCCTCTGATCTCAAAGCCATGTTTTTAGAAGTTTTAATTTTGCAACAAAATACATTTTCATATTCTCTCCATCTCCCTCCCTCTCTGTTCTCCTGCTTCTTTTCCCTTCATTTTCCTTTCCTCTCCTCTCTCTACTCCCTTTCTCTACCCTCCAGTGCTCAGGCCTCATACATGTTAGACAAGTGCTCTCCACTAAGCTACACTTCCAGCCCAGCAACATACATGGTTAGGATGACCTCTGTTGTGGTTCAGTTTTTCTAGGTAGAATCTAATGACCACAGTCTGACCTTGGACTTGCTGTGTAGCTGAGAATAACCAAATTTTGTATTCTTCTGCCTCTACTTTCCAAATGCTGAGGTTACAGCTGTGCACTACCTCACTTGGTTTGTGACAACTGAGCTATATTTTGTAGTTGTTATTTTATTTATTTATTTATTTTTTGAGATACTAATTCACTATGTAGCCCAGGCTAATAGCATCTCACTAGCCCAAGACTAGCTTTGAACTCATGAACGTCTTGCCTCACCCTACTGCGTGCTGGGACATGTTTCAGTATACCAAGCTGTGTTCTGTTTATCCAATTGCTTTATTTAACTTTCATAGCTACCTTTTGAGGAAACAGTTACCCAGAAAGGTGAATAACTTATTCCCAAGATGATTAATACACAAGGGTGGGGGATTAATTAATTCTTTCTTTACTTTTTAAAAATTAAATTTTAAATCATCATGTTGTATGTATATGTATACATTATTATTATTATTATATTATTTTATTTTGGCCATGCTATTGCTGGAACCCTGGACCTCAGCTCTCTACCACTGAGATACATTCCTAGGCCACAGACTTCACTTTTATATCTATCTTCTGTGTAGATTTTTTCAAATGTAACTTGTGAGCAATACAAGTAATGCTGTTATTATTAATAGTTCTGTTGAATAGCTTTATGAAACATGAATTCAAAGTATCTTGAGATTAATGGAATGTCTGAAGGTTTTTAGCTCTCCCCATCTCATTTTGTTGTTGTTGTTGTTGTTTATTTTGCCTGAGCATCAAAGTAGCTTTTCCATCTTGTACATGGAAAAAAAGTATGTCTGTCATAACACCTTGGGACACAGCTCTGTGTGAGTTTTCTTTTATACTGGATCTTGTCTTATGTAGTGTGGCCTTCGTATAGCTTTGTAACACATGCCTAATGGCATATGGTGACGCTATGCCTGGGAAAACCTGAGGATGAATTAGTCACGGTCCACAGGGGTGATTCAGAGGTCTTACTACACAGCTGCATTTTGAACTTGGGTGATATGAGTAAGTCAGGAAATCAGTTTTCTGAGAAATAATTGTTTTGTGGCTTTCTTCCCTCTTGCAGGAAGATCTGTTTCAACAGCCAGGCCTGAGGACGGAATTTGAGCATATAAGGGACTGTTTGGATACTGGAATGATTGATAACCTCTGTATCCTTCAAGAAATGTGTGTGTGCATGTGAAAATATGAGCGCTGTTAAAAGAGAAAGAAGACAATCTCAAAGCACAGAGTCTGCTCTTGTACCCTCAGCTAACAAGTCCTAATTACTCAGAACCCACTCAGAGAGGACTCACAGCTGTCAGCAGTCAGTGTAGCAGGATCTCAGGAGAGCCTGGGTCACATGCACAAGCAGCGTGGTCCCTTAGAGATGTAGGCTGGCATCCTAGTTCTGAGTAAAGCCTGACTGAGCAGGTAGCACTTCGGGCACATGCTTGTCCTTAGGCCTTCTCCTACTCATGGGCAGCCCATCACCTGTTCCTTAACAGTGGGCCAAAGTTGCTAACAACCATTCTGTAGCCGAAGCCTTGCTGCTTTTCCTAGAAAGCCTGCCAGAGCCTGTCATCTGTTACAGTGCCTACCATAACTGCTTGGAGTGTTCTGGCAATTACACAGCAAGCAAACAGGTAAGGAGGAGCACTGAGCATGCATAGTAGCTGGGCACATGAAGCCTGGCAGAAGAAAATATGACAGCCTTCTGAGTGCAGTGACTTGGAAAATTAACATCTTTCCTTCTCAGATGTGTTCTTCCTACTATGTCCCTTTTGCTTTTAATAGCATCCATCACCTTTAGTTGCAGTGACTCAACCCTGAAACCTGAATCATTTTTGATTCCTCCTTCTCCTCACCTCCCACATGCCCAGCCCTATTGATCTATCACTTATCACAGTCTCCCATTGTCACCGTGCTTACTTGGTTCTCCCTCTATTCATTTTGCATGCTGAAGCCAGATTGTGACCTTAGTGTCATACTTACCTCTTTGTTCACTGTAGTTAGTGATTCCTCCCTCCCTTCCTTCCTTCCTTCCTTCCTGCCTGCCTGCCTTCCTTCCTTCCTTTCTTCCTTCCTTCCCCCCCTCCCTGAGACTGGGTCTCTTTGTGTGACTCAGTCTGGTCTGGAACTCAGTGTGGCCCAGAATGACCTTAAATTCACTGTCCTTCTGCCCCAGGCTCTCAAGTGCTGGGACACCCCCTGTGTATCACCTTACCCAACTTGATGATCAAGGATAATGTAGAACAGTTGTCAACAGTATAGCTTCCAGAACCTTCACTTATATCCATTTAATCTAAGTATCTTCTGGAACCCACCTTTTCCCAGCTCCCCAGCTGATTCTGCTGTGCAGATATGTGGGCTATTCACTGGATTCCAGCCTGGATAACCCTTCCAAGTTTAGTGCCTGTGCAGCCAGTATATTCCTGCCAGAACTGATGCCTTGTGTTCCCCTGTCTATTTTGCTTTTCTCTTCCATGCCCCCAATCCTCCAATCCTCCCACATGCCTCCCCTCCAATACTAATCCTCGCTGCTGTAAGTCTAGTTTTGTCTTATAGTCAGGATCCAACTAACATGTCTTAATTCCCTAAGTTGTTTGAGAACATGGAATGTTTAGAGTTACATGTGTGACCTCTAAATTCATGCAGCATTTGACCTTTGTTCCCATTTGATACTTATGCCAAGTGGTGAGTGATTAGCTCTATGTGCATTCTCACATTCATAAGTCATGTTCTCGGTTCCTGGAATACAGCAGGCAACTTGTCAAGTAATTGGGTGAGTGAGGCTGAAAACCCCACCTCTCCTTCTTTCAGGTCATTTCTACTCTCCCCACATTCCACCAAAATGTCTTCAACTATTTGATGGCGTTTTTGCAAGAATTGCTGAAAAATTCAGCAAAAAATCATTTGGATGAGAATATTCTAGGTAAGTAACCAAGGGTCTAGGGCAAGCATCTCTACAGAATCACTGAGGAAGGAAGCTGAATTAAAATGCATTTTCTTTTCTCCACTCACCTCTCCTTTCTTTCATTCCTTTTGACTTTTTTACTTTTTGAAAGACAGGGTCAAGTTCTGTTGCTGAAGCTGGTCTCAGATTCACCATGTAGCTCATGCTGTCCTTGGACTCCTGAGTGCTGCACATACCATTTTGCCCTATTCTGGACAAAGTTTACGTGCAAATAGTTTGTTTGGGGCGGGAAATCTGACTCAGTGATGGAACACTTAGCTATCATGTGCAAGGCCCTGGAGTTCCCTCTGTTTTGGCTAGACTAGCTGGCCTGTTTTCCCCAAGGCATCCACAACCGTCAGCCCCACCTGTTTCAGCTCAAGAGCTGCCTTAAGGATGTTCTGAGACCAGCTGGAAGCAAGAGTGGCAGCTACCTGTTTCTTGAGCCTAGACTTGCCTCTTACCCGTGTCATTGGCTAGCACACACATGCTGACTTGTGAAGACATGGGGGAAATCCATGATAACAGAATGGACATTTGAGGTTCAACTTCAGTTATTTAACACAAATAGATCTCTGTTGGATTTTACTTAAGTAACTGTACTTTGGCCTTATTCAATCTCCTCCACATCACTGGAATTACAGGTGTATGCCAGTGTGCTGCCTTTTATGTGGGTTCTGTGGATCTGCCCTCAGGCCTTCTCTTATGTTTGCGCTTTACTCACTGAGGCATCTCTCCAGCCCCTATTTAGTTTTTGAGGCACAGTCCCACTATATAACTCAGGCTGGCCTGGAACTGAAGAGCAGTAGGAATACAGATGTGCCAACACACCCAGCTGTTTGTTTTTTCAAGAAGAAAAAACCTGGGCATAGTGGTGCATGCCTTAATCCCAGATCTCAGGAGGAAGAGACAGATGGATCTCCTGAGCTTGAGGTAGCCAGGGCCTGCCTTTAAAAAAAGAAAAAAGGAAAAAAAAAGTGCTTTGGGGTCTGTTCTCTCTCCTAGTCACCCTCGTGTTCCAGTTGCTAAATAGTGTTTTCTGTTCCTGTCATGCACAGCTACCATATTTGCCAGCCTACTGCTCCGAAACCCAGCTGGTCACCAAAAACTTGACATAGTGGAGAAGAAGAAGGCCCAAGAGTTCATTCATCAGTTCCTCTGCCGTCCACTTTGAGCCTCAATGCTCCTCTCCTGTTTTCCCCAAGACATCCACAACTGTCAGCCCTACCTGTTTCAGCTCAAGAGCTGCCTTAGGATCCTCTGAGGCCAGCTGGAAGCAAGAATGGCAGCTACCTGTTTCCTTACCCATGCCATTGGCTAGCACACTCATAGTGACTTGTGAAGACGTGGGGGAAATCCATGATAACAGAATGGACATTCACGGTTCAACTTCAGTTATTTAACACAAATAGATCTCTATTCGATGTTAAAGTTTTTAAGTAACTGTACTTTGGCCTTATTCAACGTGCCTCCAGGACATACAGTCAGTGGGTTCTCTGTATCCTGTACTTGAGCAGCTCATGATTAGATATTTGGACTAACTGAAGCCCTTGAAGGACAGTGAGTTGGACAACAGGTATTTGGATTAGATGTTCTGGATTAACAAGTTTTAGCCATCTCAGATGCCTCCACTGTCCAATCTGAGAACATGTATATGCACAGGGCAACTGTCCCCTTTTTACTCAGCTCCAAGGCCTCTTAGTCCCTCCTAAAAGCACTGAAGAAAAGGGGTTCAGGTGAAATAAATGGGATTGTGTAGGCCATCCAGTCCTCCCAACTGTATATAATGTATCCCCTCTCATATATGTAATATATTTTAATGATAAATGTATTTTTAACAGTGGTGACTGTTTTTCTCTCTTTTTAGTTATGTGCATTTGTGTGTATGAGTGGGGGTGGTATATGCATGTGTGAATGTGCCAGGAGAGGCCTGAGGCCCAGCTTCCTATGAAGCTGGAATCCCTGTGAAGCTGGAATTACAGGCGGCTGTGAGCCACCCAATGTGGGTTCTGGGATTTGCGCCCTTAGGTCTTAATTATTGTGTCTTCTCCCCATTTCTCTCTCTCAAAAGATGGTAGTTCCTGGCAGCTAGGCCCTTGTAGCTTAAGCACAGAGCAGCTAGCTGGTCTGGAACATGTTGCTGTTTGGTGAGTGAGTTACTTACTCAAGCAGAGGGAATGGGGCCAGAACCCTAATCTAGCCTCTGAGGGTATTGCTCCAATCTAAATGTTCTAGAGAAGTTCATAGAGAAAATAAGCAGTAGCTTATGCGTGGGTCTAAAAGTTACATTTATAGGACCATAGGACGTGCAAAATCTCATTCTGGACTTTGAAATACTGCTACCAGCTAGTGATTTCAAGGGTGGGTAGGATGAGTCCTAACAGCTGAAGAGGGGACTGGCCAGTAGGTGGCGCTGACCCTCCGGAGCGCAGAACCCCTCCTTGGGCAGGAAAGTTAGGACCGCCAGCTCTGGCGGGCGTGTAAGAACGGGAAGCGTCTGGAGCACTCTTCCCGGCTTTCCGGTCCTGGGGCGTCAGCCACGTGAACTACGCTGCGTGACCAGGGCACTGTGGGGTGAGAAGAGGGATGCCACGGGCTGGCTAACGCGTCAGGAAGACAGCAGCTGACTGCGCGTTTCCCGCTGCAGCTGCGGGCGCATCCGGGGCTGAGGACACCTCGGTTTCATGGCTGTTAGCCGCGTGCTCTCTCGCGCCCGAGACCGCCTGCTCCTTACGGTCCGCTTCCCCAAACCGCTCAGGAGCTCCAGGCTCCGCGCCCGCCCCGCCCACAGGCTGCCGGTTGGAGGCGCGGCCTCAGCCGCCGGATAGCAGGGAGCCAATCAAAAGCAGCAACGGGCGCAGGGCCCCGCCGTCCTCTCTTTCCTCCGGAAAGCGGAAGCGGAAGTGACGCTAGAGACAGGTGGGGGCAATCATGGTGCCGCTGGGGAGGGGAGAAGCTGCCGCTGCCGCCGTTGCCGGGAGCCGCCGAGGTAAAAGCAGACGCTGGACTCGGCTGGGGCTGGGACTACCCAGGGGACGCGGGACTTGGGCTCGCTGCCTAAGCCGTTCCCGGTAGAGACTTCATTCCACTCGCCAGAGGGACCCCACCCCTCCTCCGTTTCCATGGGGATGGGTATCCTGCCCCCCTTCTCTGTTTCCATGGAGACCCGGACCCTGCCCCTCTTCGCCCGGCTCGTAGCCCCCAGCCTGCCTCGGGGTTTTTCTGTGTAGCCTTGGACTGGGGTTGCTTTCCCGGTCAGGTTCCTCCTGCCAGTCTCTCAGGGGTGCTCGGTTCTCACTCTTCGGCCACCCTCACACCTCCTGGTCTTGTTTGTTACGGAAAGTTGGTCTCTGCGTTGCCGCCGAAGGTGCTGGGGCAGCCCACCGGGGCTCTCGGAATTCTTATCTTTCCACTCAGATACAGAGAAACGTGTATTTCTGGGGTTGCGTAAGCAAAGGTTCGGGCTGGTTCCTCTCAGATTAGATTCCTTGACCTGTGTCTGGTAACTAACTACCTTGCCTTGTCGCTCCTTCACGTAAAGGATCACTTGCTAACCCTGAGCAGAAGTGCAGAACCAGGCTGAAAACTAAGTGATGTGCTAATTATTTTAAATTCTCCTTTTGTGTCTGCCAAACCCACATTTTGTAGAATCTGTGTGTTTTCGGGTGGAGGAAGAATCACATTCCAGACCATGAAAGCTTCAAATTTGGTAATTTCCTCAAGAGACTGTATCTTCAAAAAGAGACTCTGTCTACTTGTCTGTCATTTATTTCCTGATATTTCCTGACCTCCTTGTGTCAGTATGTTGTTAGGGACAGTCCTTGAGGGCAGAAAACCTAGTCACTCTGTACAAGCAAACTCTCTGGTCCGTATCATGTTTGGGGGATACAAATAATTAAAGTGATTGCATTAGCTATTCCTTATGAGGGATTTAACCCCTCCACTCCTTGTGTACGAGAAATGACCGAAGGGATCCATACTCTTTCTATATTTGACAGGATTGTACTTTACATACACACAGTTTCCCTTTCACTCTTTATGAGACAGGGACTATTAGTCCCACTGTAGAAATACAAGGCACAAGCAGGTTGCCCAGAGCAGTAAAGGGCAAAACCAGGATTTCTAGGTGATTGTGTTAGAAGGGTGGTTTTTGCACAGTCAAATGCCTGAAGCTGTGGTTGAAGGCGAGGGTGTTGGAATGGGAGTGCCTCACTTACAGTTTATAGAAGTTCTTCCTTTAAACAGCCACCTGTTTGCTCCTTTATCCTCATTAGCTGCACAGACCCATCTTTAAAGTATGTGACAGTAAGTCACAGTTAGAAAGTCTTGTGAACTGGTAACTTTAACTTTGTTGGGGGGGGGGGGGGGGGGCACAAACCCTTTTTTTTAATAAGTGACAGTAAGTCAGAGTTAGAAAGTCTTTTGAACTGGTAACTTTAACTTTGGTGGGGGGGGGGGTGGTAGATATATTGCTTTTCCTTAAAAGTGACTGAGTGTGTCAAATTTTAAAACATTTCCAAGGAAGATGATGATTTTTTTTTTCCTTTGGTTTGCCTTTTTGGTTTTTGGTTTGGTTGGGTTTTCTGTGGTTTTGGTTTGTTTGTTTATTTGATTATTGATTCACACTGTGTATCTCCGGTTCACCTGGAACTCACAGAGATCCAACTTCCTCTACTTCCCAAGTGCTGGAATTAAAGGCCTGAATCACTGCCTTTCTTTTGTTTGGGGATAGGGTCTTACTGTGTAACTCTGGTTGGCTTAGAACTTGATAAGAGAAAGTGCTGACCTTGAACTCACAGAGGTCTGCTTGCCTCTGCCTTCCAAAGTCTGGGATTTACAGCTTTGATTTGCTTTTAAAATGAGGAAAAATGACCCTTAGGTGGTTAGGATGTGGGTGGGTCTTGTGCTGTGGCTCTAACTCTGGTGTTGTCTGTTGCAGAAAGGCCATTACCTTTTCATTTCTCACAATTGGGCTGAGCACAACTGAACCATGGGGGAACACAGTCCAGACGACAATATCATCTTCTTCAAGGGAGAGGAAGATGACCTAACCCCGGATGACAAGATGCTCAGGTTTGTGGATGACAACGGACTGGTGCCTTCCTCATCTGGAACTGTTTATGATAGGACCACTGTTCTTATAGAGCAGGACCCTGGCACTTTGGAGGATGACGATGATGATGGACAGTGTGGAGAACACTTGCCTTTTCTAGTGGAAGGAGAAGAGGGCTTCCTAATAGACCAGGAAGCAATGTCCCAGGGTTACGTACAACACATTATCTCACCAGATCAGATTCATTTGACTATAAACCCCGGCTCCACACCCATGCCAAGAAACATTGAAGGTGCAACTCTTACTCTGCAGTCGGAATGTCCAGAAACAAAACGGAAAGAAGTAAGTAAAGCAGCAAATGAGGGCCCGGTGTGGCTTTGGGGCAGCTCCTTCCACAGCGTGCTGGCAGTTTTAACTGGGGTTAAAGGAGCTCCTGGGCTTAGAGCCTTCGGTAGTCTTGCCTGTCAACAACACATCGCTTCCTGTTTTGTTGTGACTGCTTTCTAGAACTTTTGGATTGTATGGCCGCATTGTAATTGAGGAATACCACATTGTAATATCTCGGATTTTCCTCTCCAAATCATAAATAAAGTAGAAATTTCACCAAAGTGAATTCATGTTTATACTGCGAAAGTAACAGCATGGCTTCTCTGGTAGCAGAGTGACAGATCTGTGTGTAATGAATAGAACTGTGTCAATGATTTGTTTTGGAGATGCATACAGAGATGTGCTCCATTAATTTAGTGAGTAGTTAATGGTTATTAAGGGAAGTTTTTTAATCCAGGCAGGAGATCACAATTGAGACCAGGTTTGCTAAAAGTTGTCACATTCATGTTCAGTAGTGTGGATAGAGTGATGCCTTTCAGGATATCTTGGAAACTGTAAAGCATTTTACAAATTGTAGTAGTGAATTTGAATGAGATAAATGATATGGCTTAAAGGTAGCGAGCTGCAAACATTATCCTGCAGGTTAATTTGAAAAAGCTGATCACTGGCAGTTGCAGTGCCAAGGACCCAATGTCAGGTATTACCAGGCAAAAATAGGCTTCATTTCTTGAGGAAATATTTTCCTTTTTGATGCAAGGAAGATTTGAAATTCCATACAGCTTGCACAAATGCCTTATTCATGGCATTGGTTTTGTTTTGTGTTTTTTTTTTTTTTTTTTTTTCTTTTTAACTGTAGAATCTTACTTCTGTAAGGCTTTAGTTAAGGGTGGAATGCCTGCTTAGCATTTGTGAGGATTTGATCTCTGGTATCACAAATAAATGGATGAGTAAATAAATACCTCAGAGCTGTAAATACCTTAAGAGAGACCATCATCTCTACCTCCCAGTGGACACGGAAATCTTTGCAGCATCTTTGATATTTGTTCTTTGGTCTGTGCTTGACCACTTCCAGAATGGTGAGAGCATAGGCTTTCAGAGCTCAGTCCAGTACATTTGTTGGCCTGCTCTTATTGCTAAGAAGGTTTTGCTTGTACAGGGCTAAAGTGCCTGTTGCAGCCTCCAGTTCTGTCCTCCTGAGAATCCTTCTTCCATGGGGCAGCCTGCACATAGTTAAAGGTCCTGTCATAGTCTTTGGTACAAGCTAGGCTACACCGAAATGATGGCATTCCCCCGCCCCCAAGTCTCATCAACTGGGTTGCCTTTAATTGAAGGAATTCCAGTTTTCCAAAGTCCTTTTAAAATCCAGAGTTGAACATACTCTTGCAAGAGTGAGTCAGCCTGGTGAGTCGTGCAGCTCTTATCTATCTCTGCATCTGGACACTGAACTACAGTGACTGTGTCATCTGTGTTTTATTATCAACATCTCACTGTTGGCTTGTACTTGGAAACCTCTAGAATAGTGGTTCTCGGCCAGGGGAGATTTTGCCCCTCAGGAGACATTTGGTTGTCACACTGGGGAGGTGCTGACTGGAATCTGTAGGTAGGGGTTAAAGATGCTGTTAGACATTTTATAAAGCACAGGACAACCTCCAGCAAATAGTTGTCCCAGGTGACAGCAGAGCTCAGATGGAGAACTCTGGTCTGCATTGTCATGGCTGCCGCTGTCAAGTTTTGTGCTGGTGAAGGTAGACTTGCTTGTAAGCCTTTGGAGTGTCTCCATACTGAATTTCTCTTGTTGGTTTCAGCCCGGTATGTGAGATTGTGTTGGGGTCCATCTGCCTTCAGCAGACTCTGTTTGTCGCTGCTGTTGTCCTTTTTGAGGTGTCTCATGCAACCCAAGCTGGCCTCCAGTTTGCTATGTAGTTAAGGTTGACCTTGAACCCCAGATCTCCTGCCCTTTCCCTTTCCAGTGCTCGGATTCAGGCATGCAGCCGGCTTCACAGTCAGGTGTCAAGCAAGGTGTAGTGATTGCAGGTGATGGCGATTTACAGTATAGAGGTAGAAATACCTGATGGCCGTATCGTGAACATAAGTGTGAATCGTACCAGCACTGTGTTTGGGAGCTGTGTTTTTAGGCAAGCCTTCAGGGTGGTCTTTAAAAAATGTGTTTAGTTTACGAGAAAAGAATGAGTATTTCTGAGAAATGGGGACAACGTGAACAGAGAAAGGGAAATAGAAAGCAGAGGCCCCTTTCAGGGAGTAGCCAGCTACCCTCCTAAAAACAGTGTGTGTGTGTGTGTGTGTGTGTGTGTATGGGGGGGGTGTTTGTTTCTATTTTGAAAGAGTCTTGCTGTGCAACCCTGCTTTTTTCAAAGTGTTGATCCTCCTGTTTCCCTAGTGCTGGAATTACAGGCATATACCACACATGGCCAGTACATTTTTCTGTAAAGGGCTAAAGAGTAAATGTACTTGTCCTTAGAGACTATGTGGTCTCTGTTGCAACCAGTCAGTTCCACCATTGTAACAAAATCAGTTAGAGATAATACACAGGTAGGCCAGGGGTGGAGCTCAGTCTGGATATCATGCCACAAGGCCCTAGGTTCTATTCCTGACACCACAGTAAAACAAAAAGATACTATGTAAATGAGCATGCTGGCCAGAATTAACTTACTGGCTGTAATGTGTCAACCCTTGGACTAGAATCCAGAAAGTGGCAGGGATGTGGATGGAGATATAGCAAAGATCAGATCTAGAAAGCAGTGATGGCTTGCTGAGGGTTTATGCTGTTCTGGAAGCAATGGGAGTCTTGAGGATTTGGGAGCCAGGAGTAAGATGATTAGAGCAGTATCTTAGAGCCAGGCATGGTGGTGCACATCTTTGATCTCAGCACTCTGAAGGTAGTGGCAGCTGGAGCACTATGAGTTTGAGGCCAGCCTGGTCTGCATAGTTCCGGGATAGCCAAAACTATGTGGGAAGACCCTATCTCAAAAAACAAAAACAGAAGTAGAGTAGCATTTTAGGAGGGGTGCTCTGGCAGCAGCAGGTTACTGGGAGGCAAAGGAAATCGAGGACTTAATGGCCTGCTAGAAAACTTGAGTTTATTTTAACTGATGAAGGGAAGACTGACGGAGCTTGGTGTGCTGTTGGAATTTGAATAAGCCCAGAGTTGAATATGAACCAAAGGTCTTTAGTCGTGTTCATTGAAAAGATTAGTCCAGGACTGCTCATGGTGGTGCACACCTTTCATCTCCGCACACAGGAGGCAGAGGCAGGTTGATGTCTGAGATCCTTTCTCAACACACAAAGATTTTTTTCTCAGTGTGTTCATTTGCTGCTGGTTGATGAGTGGTGAAGAGTCTGCTATAGTGGGTAACTTCAGTCATGGTCAGGCTGCATGCTGAAGACAGTGGTGAGCTCCGCCTTCCACTCCCTACCTCCCCTGCCTAAATGGTGAGTCTCTTAATAAGAATTGGGATCCAACGAGGAAAGTTTGGTGGGGAAATGAGTGAGTTTGTTCAGTGTGTGCTGAATGGAAAGAAGCACAAGGTGGAATCCACTGGAAATGTGGGCCTGAGGTCAAAGAAACGACATGGCTCCTAGATCCCTGTGGGCCAGCAGTATGAACAAGGAAGAAGCTTTGGGCTGCAGAGAGAAAGGGGCCAGAGGAGATGACAGTAGGCAAGAGAGGTGGGTGGAATGTGCTGTTCTGAACTCTAGGTCAGGAAGGCGGATTTCCTGTGTGATCTGAGCAATGCTGAGGAGCCAGAGAAGACACTAGTTCTGTCTCTTGTTCAGTTGCCACTCACATGGTCTTCAGCTGAGCCCAGGGTACAGGGTGTCTAAATGACGGAGAAGTGAGCTGGAATGAGATAACAGGAAGTAGGAAGTATGTGAAGTGGATTTTTTGTTTGTTTGTTTGTTTTGTTTTGGTGTGTTTTTAGTTTGACAGTTGGGAGGGGGAAAAAGCATTGAGACAGTGGTAACGGGGTGGGGCATTGAAACTTTTTTAAGTTTAGGAGGCTTATGCTGGGTGTGGTGTCTCATGCCGTCAGTCCCAGCACTGGGGAGGTTACACAGGTGGGGTTCCAGGCCAGGTGGGGCTACATAGTGAGACCCTGTCTCTAACCTAATTAATTAATAAAAGTCTCAAAAGTTTGGTCATAGTTTTGGACCTAGTTTTAGGCCACCCTGGGTTAATGATTACTACCTGAGTGTTCATGAGCCTATGTCTGAGAACTGTTAAGTAGACCCATACTACTTCAGAACTTATCAGGACCTTGGCTAATAACTAAATGAGAAGAAAATATAGACTTTTTTTCGAAATGCTGTGAGCTTATGCTATAAACCATCTTCCCAAAGCACATTTTGGGAAATGCTGACCTAGGCAGAAGAGAAGATAGGAGGGAGGGAGGGAGTGATTATGCAATCTGATGTTAGCTGTCACTTTCCTGCTTTGTGCTTCTCACCAATTAGTTGCTTCTGTTTGCAAGCCTGGCTCGCCCCATTCGTTTCTTCAGACCATTTAATTATGGACAGGGCAGGGTCAAGGATGCTATGAGCTCCTTGCCAGTGTACTGTGGGTTTATCTTCTTAAAGGTTCTTTCCTTCCTCTTCATTTTTACCATCCTATATGTAAGATCTGTGTAAAAATTTCTATAAGCTAGACTTTTTTCTTTTGAGTTGGGTCGTACACGGCAATCCAAGGCTGCCTTCAGACTCGCAGCAACCCCTTGAGGACTGAGATTAGAGACAAGAGCCACTGCCCTGGTCTGTAAACTGGTGCTCCGCTTAGTAGGTTTGGGGCTGCTGTGGGGGTCAGGAAAAGCAGCAGCGCAGTCTTTGAAGGCCAAGCGTTTAGGCTTGCCTTCCAGAAGCACACTCTTACCTCAGTCATTGATTGACAGTGATTTTATTTTGGCTTCCAAATCCACTTAGCCTGAGGCCAGTGTTTACAAATGATAAACGCTGCATGATCTTTAACCATGGTTGTCCTGGAACCTGTTTTAAGCGTAGCT